TAACACTGATCAGCTGTAGGGCGGCCCTTTGAAGCCCCGCGACAAGAGTTTCAACAGTTTTTTTCCCCTCTAGTCATCAGCTGGGACTCAGGAGGCAGCAATAGATTGGGGGTGGGACCAAATAAAAGGTAAGAATAACGTGGGGGGGAGAACTGGTTCGGTGATGTCATATCGTCACCGCTACCGGCTCGGCCGAACCGGACCGAACCGGGAGGAACCCACCACTGATTTGCATCCTTTTAGAGAGTCCTTGAAGCCACCTGTCTGGCCTTCAGATGCTTTGAGCCGTCTTGGAACTGTTGAAAGGATCGTGTTGTGGACTGGAGAATGATGATGGCATATCCTTCCCCCTCTGTTGAGAGAGGACTGCTCAATTTGGACATAGATGGCCTCTTTGACCCCTCTTTCAAACCAGCAGTCCTCTCTCTCCAAAACGTGGACTTTGCTGGCTTCAAAAGAGCGGCCTTCGTCTTTTAAATACAGATAGACTGCTGAATCTTGTCCTGGTGGGTTTATTCTCCTATATCACAGATATACCTCCAAGTGGCCTCAACGACTCTCTAAAAGGATGCAAATGACCAGCTGTCTGCAAGGAATATAAATCCTTCCATTCCTCCACCATCCAGTCAGAGCTAAAGAAGCTTCTTGGAGGAGAAGCGAAACGTCTCTCAAAGAATAACAAGAAAGTCCAGTTGCCTCTTGAAATAAACACCTTTGGGACAGACCAATGGACTGTTTCCAAAGAAGAAAGCTGTGTTTTGGGGGAGTTGTACAGGTAGTCCTCGACGTACGACCACAATTGAGTCCAAAATTTCTGTTGCTAAGTGAAACGTTTGTTAAATGACTTTTTGCCCCATTTTACGACTTTTCTCGTCTGAATTTTGATCACGTGACCACGGGGAGGCCACAACGATCATAAGTGTGAAAAACCAGTCATACGTTGCTTTTTTCAGTGTCAATTGTAACTTCAAAGGGTCACTAAACGAACTGTTGTAAGTCAAGAACTACCTCTACTAAGCCATTTCTATAACAACGAAGTAATTTAATCCCTGCCTCGTTGCCCGCTTCTCAGCTGTTTCTTCAATTTCCCAAGGATTTTTATTTATTTTTATTTATTTAGTTTGTCAAACATGTATAAGGTAACAGATATAAGTATAAACATGATTATGAACACAGGAAATGGATAAGAATAAATGGGGAGGGTAGGTACGCTGGGGCGCTTATGCAAGCCCCTTACAGACCTCTTAGGAATGGGGTGAGGTCAACAGGAGACAGTCTAAGGTTAAAGTTTTGGGGGTTTGGGCAGGGGTGGGTTCTAATTTTTTTTACTACCGGTTCTATGGGCGTGGCTTATTTTGTGGGCGTGGCTTGGAGGGTAATGTGACTGGGTGGGCGTGGCCAATTTTTTTTTTTTTTTACTTTTAAAAGCATTTTTTCTACAACCTTAAGAGGTTGTAGAAAAAATGCTTTGAAAAACCTCTGACGATCCCAGCTGAGCCGCGGGATCATCAGAGGCTTTTTTTTTTTTTAACTTTTAAAAGCATTTTTTTGGCCAAAGAGGTTGTAGAAAAAATGCTTTTAAAAGTAAAAAAAAAAAGCCTCTGATGAGGTGGGCGGGGTAAGCGAGCGGTGACCGGGCCGGGGACCAGTTCGGGGGCGTGGCCAGCCAATGTTATTATCGGTTCTCAGAACTACTACAAATTTTTACTACCGGTTCTTGCGAACCGGTGCGAACCAGGAGCAACCCACCACTGGGGTTGGGGAAGAAACCGAGGTCCCGAGGTGGTGCAGTGGTTAGAGTGCAGTATTGCAGCTACTTCAGCTGACTGCTAGTTCGGCAGATCAGCGGATCAAATCTCACCGGCTCAAGGTTGACTCAGCCTTCCATCCTTCCGAGGTGGGTAAAATGTGGACCCAGATTGTTGGGGGCAATATGCTATTTAGTATACTGTCTTTGGTGTAAGCCGCCCAGAGTCCTCAGAGAGTGGGCGGCATAGAAATATGACTAATAAATAAATAAAATAAACCACAGAGTCTGGTAGTGCATTCCAGGCATTGACCACTCTGTTACTGAAGTCATATTTTCTGCAATCGAGTTTGGAGCGGTTTACCTTGAGTTTGTATCAGAGGTGGGTTTCAGCAGGTTCTGACCAGTTCTGGAGAACCGGTAGCAGAAATTTTGAGTAGTTCGGAGAACCGGTAGTAAAAATTCTGACTGGCCCCGCCCCCATCTATTCTCTGCTTCCCAAGTCCCAGCTGATCGGGAGGAAATGGGGATTTTGCAGTAGCCTTTCCCTGGATTGGGGAGGGAATGGAGATTTTACAGTATCCTTTCCCCTGCCACGCCCACCAAGCCACACCCACCAAGCCATACCACACCCACCAAGCCACACCCACAGAACCGGTAGTAAAAAAATTTGAAACCCATCACTGTTTTGTATCTATTGTGTGCTCATACATTATTGTGGTTGAAGCTGAAGTAGTCACTGACAGGTAGGACGTTGTAGCACAGTGTTTCTCAACCTTGGAAGCTTGAAGATGGGTGGACTTCAACTCCCAGAATCCCCCAGCCAGCAACGCTGGTTGAAGTCCACCCATCTTCAAGCTTCCAAGGTTGAGAAACACTGTTGTAGCAGATAATTTTGTGTACTACGCTTAGGTCAGACCGAAGGCGGCGTAGTTCTAAATTGTCTAAGGCCAAAAATTTTCGATGTTTTTTTCATCCAGGTTAACCTTGCTCAGTTGTTTGAGGTCAGGAGTTGGCCAGTTGCTATAGTCACTTATTGTATCCGACACCAGATAATGTTCCCCAGGACGTTTTATTTTCTTTCCTAGTTCCTTCCTGGTTTATGTATTTGCAAATATCTTTTTATATATTAACGTATTCTTTCTGAGCAAAGTGCCCTCCCCCCAGTTGTTATGATTATGGTTAAAAGCCACTGGCATTTATTTAAACTTTGCAATTATCTCATCGTGTATTTAAGGAAGCAGTTTTTCAGCTTCCTGTAATAATAGAGGAAAAGCTTGCAATTTGATGCGATTATATCAGTATTGACTCTCAGCAATCAGAAGCAGAGATTGTCTGCAGGAGAGTCTGTCCCCAACCCATTTTTTTCAGATCTTCCAACGGTGCCCCCATCATGCTGGGTCCATCCACCTCACAGCTGGTCATCCTCTTAATGATCTTCAACTTTGCAAGTTGCCAGTCTGTTACTTAGAGAAGCCATTTCTTAGCTCCTATCTTTCTTTCTCTTTCTTTCTTTCTTTCTTTCCTTCCTTCTTCCTTCCTTCCTTCCTTCTTTTTCTTTCTTTTTTTCTCTCACTGTTTCTTTCTTTCTCTCACTCTTTCTTTCTTTCTCTTTCTTTTTTCTTCCTTCCTTCCTCCCTTTCTTTCTTTCTCCCTCCTCCCTCCCTCCTCCTTTCTTTCTTTCTTTCTCCCTCCTTCCTCCATTCTATTCTATTCTATTCTATTCTATTCTATTCTATTCTATTCTATTCTATTCTATTCTATTCTATTCTATTCTACTCTAGTCTACTCTAGTCTACTCTACTCTACTTTCTTTCTCTTTCTTTCTTTCTTCCTTTCTCTTCCTTCGTTCCTTCCTTTTTTCTTTCTTCCTCCCTCCCTCCCTCCCTCCCTCCCTCCCTCCCTCCCTTCCTTCCTTCCTTCCTTCCTTCCTTCCTTCCTTCCTTCCTTCCCTCCCTCCTTCTCTTTCAAATATCATTTTACTGCAACAATCATTTAGATTGTCATTTCAGATTGCTTTCCCGGGACTTTTGTTCCACTATTTTTTTAATTTTATTTCCAAAGTGAAAATACACAATAACGAAAAAAGAAGAAACAAACTAGCAGTCTGGGTTCTCCAATACTGGAAGGTGTTAAGAAGTGATTGGACAACCATTTGTCTGAAATGGTATAGGATTTCCTAACTGAGCAGGGGGTTGGACTAGAAGACCTCCAAGGTCCCTTCCAACTCTATTCTATTATTCTGTCCTGTTATTTCTGTTATTTTTACTGTTTTTCCCTTGTTCTTTCATTTCTCATTTTATTTTTATATTGTATATTTTGTCTGTTTGATGTTTCTTCGGTTAATTTGCGCTATTCCATTTTTAATTATATAGGCCCGTGATGGCAAACCTATGGCACGCGTGCCACAGGTGGCACGCGGAGCCATATTAGTGGGCCTGCCAGCTCAGCTCTGGAGGCATGCGCTCGCCGGCCAGCTGATTTTCGGCCCTTTTGGGCCCACCAGAAGTAGGGAAACAGGCTGTTTCCTGCCTCTGGAGGGCCTGGGGGGGTGGGGAAGGCCCGTATTTCTTTCTTATCTGGCTCCAGATCCTCTTTGTGTATCTGGGAACGGTGAAAACAGCCTTTCCCACTCCCTTGGAGGCCCTACGGAGGCTGAAAGGGCCCATTTCCCCACTCCCGGTGGGACAGGAAGGGACCTTTTTTCCTGTCCCCAGCCTCCAGAGACTCCTAGAGAGGCTCCTACAGACTCCTAGAGAGGCTCCTACAGACTCCTAGAGAGGTTCTGGAGGCTGGGGACAGCAAAAAATATCACTTCCTGTCCCACCGGGAGTTGGGAAATGGGCCCTTTCAGCCTCCGTAGGGCTTCCAAGGGAATGGGAAAGGCTGTTTTCGCCATTCCCAGATACACAGAGAGGATCTGGAACCAGGTAAGAATGAAAAACGGGCCTACCAGGCCATCCTGTGCCAGAAGCGGGGGGCGAGGGGGGAGGGGGTTGTGCACACATGCGCGTGGGCACGTGCGCGCACGACCCTCCCCCGCCCCCCCCTCTCCTGGCACGCGATGGCAAAAAGCCATCACTGATATAGGCCATAGGGTGAATTTTTGCATCCCTAGGAGGGATGACAGAATTATAAATCAATTAATACCTTTTTTTAAAAATGTGTCTTTTGAAAACGATACCTGTTCTTTGTTATCACTCATGTTAGGAATAATATGATTCAACCAATGAAAGCTATTTGTCTTTTGCAGAAGGGAAAACCTGGTGTTATGCCTCACAACAGTGCAAAGTCCCAGATTGCAAAGGTAACTTTCAAAGCCAACAGTTCAATGTACTGTAAGACACGAATCATGGGCAAGGTGTGGGAAAATGCAAGTTATTATATTTCCTTTTCTGTAGAGCCACTATTATGGATAGTTACGCAATGAAATGCTGAGTGTAACAAATGGTAATAAAAACATTGAATTCTTGGAGAGCTTCTGGGCTGCTTTGCTGCCATTCCAGTCTTGCTCTGAAAGGACCCTCTGATTGCAAAGCTAAATTTCTTTCATGCTTTTGCCAATAGCCTGACTATAAGGTGAAAGATAAAGGAGTCCCTGCAGATTTTACTCTGCTAGTGGTTGCCGGAGGGCTCCGTTTCAAGGCCATTGAGTCAGCGCTGTCCAAAAACATTTCCACGGTCCTGTGACCAGCATGACATCACGGAGCGCTGTTACCTTCCCACCAAAATGATACCTATTTATCTACTCACATTTGCATGCTTTCGAACTGCTAGGTTGGCAGGAGCTGAGGTGAGGATGGGAGCTCACCCCATCGCAAGGTGCTTGGGTCTCGAACCTGGGCTGCTGGCTTTCCAGCCCACACACCAGGGGTGGGTTCTAAATTTTTTTATTACTGGTTCTGTGGGCGTGGCTTATTTTGTGGGTGTGGCTTGATTATCATGTGACAATTCTTTAGGATTTAGCAGAGGTACTGGTCTACCAGGCTTTTAACTGCTTGCAGAGCTGTACCGGTCTACTCATTTGTTTTTAGAGGCAATGGTCTATCACCACACTCCCTTTTACCACTGATCAGCTATAGGGCGGCCCTTTGAAGCCCTGCGGCAAGAGTTTAAACAGTTTTTTTCCTTCTAGCCGATCAGCTGGGACTCGGGAGGCAGCAATAGATTGGGGGTGGGGCCAAATAAAAGGTAAGAATAATGCAGGGGGGCGGGGCCCCCCAGCTCCCGAACAAAGAGAACCGGTTCAGTGACATCATATCGTCACCGTTACTGGCTCGGCCAAACCGGGCCGAACCGGAAGGAACCCACCACTGCCACACACCCAGATCTTAACCACCGAGCCACCACACCGCCATATAGCCTGACTAAGTTTTCATGGAATCCTAAGGCAGCTCCCAGTTGGGGAACTGGGAGACAAGATAGGTTTCAAGTACAGGTAGTCCTCGTCTTACAATTACAATGGAGCTCCAAAGTTCATTTGCTAAGCAAGGCAGTTGTTAAGTGAGTTTTACCCCATTTTACATCTTTTTTTGACAGAGATGTTAAGGCAACCACTGCAGTTGTTAAGAGAATCATGCTACGCGAATCTCTCTTCCCCCATTGACTTTGCTTGTCACAACCCAGCTGAGAAGGTTACAAATAGTGACCAAATGACCCTAGGGCAGGACAACTGTCATCAATACATGCCAGTTGCCCATTATTTTGAATTGTGATTATGTGACTATGGAGGTGCTGCAGTGGTTGTTAAGTGTGAAAAGTGATCATAAATCCCATTTTTCAGTGCCGTTGTAACTTTGAACGGTCACTAAATGAATGGTTGTAAGACAAGGACTACTACTTGTAATGTTCCGAGGATGAGTGTCTATTAGAGTCATGGCTAGTTTGAGCCCAGGCAGTGGTGGATTCCTCCTGGTTTGGCCCGGTTCGGCCGAGTCGGTAGCAGTGACGATATGATGTCACTGAACTGGGTCTCTTTGTTTGGGAGCTGGGGGGCCCCGCCCCCCCTGCGTTATTCTTACCTTTTATTTGCCCCCACCCCCAATCTATTCGCTGCCTCCCGTTCCGAATCCCAGCTGATTGGCTAGAAGGAAAAAAACTGTTTAAACTCTTGCCACGGGGATTCAAAGCGCCGCCCTACAGCTGATCAGTGGTAAAAGGCACTGTGGTAGTAGACCAGTGCGCTCGAAAAACAAATGGGTAGACTGGTTCCTCCAAAAAATAAATAGGTAGACCGGTACAGCTCTGCAAGCAGTTAAAAGCCTGGTAGACCAGTACCTCTGCTAAATCCTAAATAATTGTCACATGACCATCAAGCCACGCCCACAAAATAAGCCACGCCCACAGAACCGGTAGTAAAAACATTTAGAACCCACCCCTGAGACCAGGGACTGGAATTGAATATACAATGGTTTGAAATGAACGGAGCTAATCTAGGAGAGAAGCAACTTAGAACTAAGGAGAAGTTTCCTGACAGTTAGAACAATTAATCAGTGGAACAACTTGCCTGCAGAAGTTGTGAATGCTCCAACGCTGGAAATTTTTAAGAAGATGTTGGATAACCATTTGTCTGAAGTGGTGTAGGGTCTCCTACTTGAGCAAGGGATGGACTAGATGTTGGAAAGATGTGGAGACTCTGGAAAGAGTGCAGAGAAGAGCAACGAGGATGATGAGGGGACCGGAGGCTAAAACATGCGATGAACGGTTGCAGGAACTGGGCATGGCTAGTCTAGTGAAGAGAAGGACCAGGGGAGACAGGATAGCATCTTCCAATATTTGAGGGGCTGCCACAGAGAGGAGGAGGTCAACCTATTCTCCAAAGCACCCGAAGGCCAGACAAGGAATAATGCATGGAAACTGAGCAAGGAGAGATTCAACCTAGAAATAAGGAGAAACTTTCTGATAGTGAGAAATAATCAACCCATGGAACAGAAGTTGCCTTCAGAAGTTCTGGGAGCTTCATCACTGGAGGCTTTCAAGAAGAGACTGGACTGCCATCTGTCAGAAATGGTGTAGGGTTTCCTACTTGAGCAGGGGGTTGGACTAGATGACCTCCAAGGTCCCTCCCAACTCTGTTATTCTGTTTTCCCGCTGGCTTCTTTTAGACTTCTTCCAGTTTATAGGCCAGGAAATCCTAAAGACTTCAACTTCATAAACCATAGTTTGCAGAAATCACGATTTTATTAGTCTTGATCCAATTTCTGTCCCATTCAAAAGTCTTTTTTCTCCTCTCCCTCCTGCAGAACCTCGCCTATGGGCGAAGCTATATTCAGAATGTGGAAACAACAAACAATCTCCGGTTAATATTCTCACCCGGCAGGTAACATACAACAACTCTCTGAAAGCGTTTAATTTTATAAACTACGATGTCGAATCCAACCACAAATGGAGCATGGAAAACAACGGACACACAGGTGAGAAGCAGGAATACCTCATACAAGCCCTACAGGTATTCCTCAGAATGGGAGAATATGTGGACGAAAGGTCTAAAATGTACACTAAATTATAACTTAAAGGAAAATTTTTATAATATGATGTATCGTTGGTATTTACCACCAGATAAGTCAGGGGTGTTGTTGTGACCGAGGCCCAAGTAGGTATTACCAGACGCAATCAGTTCGAAAACAAACAGACTTTATTAGAACAGCTGAGAATTAACTCATTCTCAGCGTAGTCCAAACTAATTCAAAACAAATTCTTCATAACACAACCCTTCAGCCTTATCACCAACCTTGGTCTAATTAGGCAACCTGCCAAAGGGTTTTCTTGGCAAAAGTTCAGGAGCAGAAGACGCCGACAAGAAATAAATGCAGCAAGACAAGAAACAAATCTATCAACGTTGTTTTCCGACAAAGAGCCCAATAGCTGTTGCTGGTCTTTTAAGCCTTATGGGAGGGGCCAATCATCTCTTGGCCTTACTCCTGAGTTGTCCTTTTTGCTTTAGCTGCTCCTGCCTTCTGGCAGCTCTTCTCATACATGCACTAGGAACAGGCTCCTCCTGATCCTCTGCCTCTCTGATGTCAGCCTCTGGAGGCTCCGGAGTCCGCACATCACTCCCAGATGGAGCCTGGCGCCATCTCTGCCTCTGGCGCAGAGCCCTCGTCCGGGCCTTCCCCAGCCTCCAGGACTGGCCCATGTTCTTCCTCAGCCTCCTCACTGTCCGACTCCGCTGCCAGCTCCGCAGGCTGCTGGCGGACCACAACAGGTGTCAAACTCGATTTCATTGAGGGCTGTATCAGGGTTGTGTTTGACCTCGAGGGGGCTGTGGGGGGCATGGCCAGCTCAACATCACTCATGTCAGGGGCACCTGTGGTGCAGCAGTGAAATCCTCTGAAGTCTGCTACCGGTTCTGTGAGTCTGCTACTGAGTGCATGCCCGCACAGCGCTAAAAAAGGAACATTTTTAAGCCTTCTGCGTCTGCAAAGGTAAGTAGAACAGTGAGGGGGGGGAATCCGTTGTGCCACATGGTTTAGATTAGCTAGAAAGCAGGAAATCCGATGATTCTAGCTAATATAAATCACGCGTCACAGCTGATCGCCACCCAGCTGATCATCGGAAATACCTGCATTTTTTACTACCAGTTCACCAGAACCGGTCCGAACCAGTAGCATTTCACACCTGCTGTGGTGGTCCGAATGCTCTGCCAGTAAAAATGGGATCCCGACCTCTGTTTTCGGCTGTGACGGTCTCCTGCAAGCCTTTGCCAGCAAAAACGGAGCTCACGAGGGCCACCTGTGTCCCTCCCGAACTCCGTTTTCGGCTGCAACAGCCTCCGGCAAGCCTCTGCCAGTGAAGCAAAGGCACTGCAGGCCGGTCCTTCACTGTTTTCAGGGTGGTCCCATGGGCCAGATCTAACCACTCCATGGGCCAGATCCGGCCCCCGGGCCTTGCGTTTGACACCCCTGAGGTAAATTGTCCAGGATGTATAAATGTATTTCAAATGACTGTTGGAAATACAAATGTAAAGAAGGGACTTTTAAATCATTTATGGTGGACATGTGACATGTTACAATGGTTTGTTTACTGACTGTTCAAAGTTATGACGGCATTGAAAAATGAGACTTACGGAAAGTTTTTCATTCAACCATTGCATCACTCCCCATGGATCAAAATTCAGAGGCTTGGCAACTGGCATCAACTTATGACAGTTGCAGTGTCCCGAGGTCACAGGATCATTTTTTCCGATCTCCTAACAAGCAAAATTAACAGGGAAGCCAGATTCACTTAACAAACATGTTACTTAACAACTGTGTGAATGCGTTCTAAGGTTTTTAATGTTTTTTAATCTTTTAAATGTTTTTAGAATGGTGTTTTTTTTTTTAATGTATTGTGAGCCGCCCTGAGTCTCCGGAGAGGGGCGGCATATAAATTTAATAAATGAATAAATTTAATAAATAAACTGCAGTGACTCACTTCACAACTGTGGCAAAAAAGATTGTAAAACGGGGCGAAACTCACTTAACCACTGTCTTGTTTAGCAACGGAAATGTTGGGCTCAATTGTGGTCGTAAATTGAGGACTATCTGTAGTCCTTGATTTGGGACCATCTGTTGCTGAGCAAAAGCGGTTGTTAAGTGAATCGTGCCCATTTTTTTCCAAGGTTGTTAGATGAATCTGCAGTTGTTAAGTGAATCCGGCAGGCATTAAGCAATACAGCTGGCCCAATTGTATTTGCTCGCAGCTGCTGGTTTTCAGCGAAACCGTCGTAAAATGTGATCATGTGACACCCCCCCCGCAAATAGCTATGTGTCATCGTAATTTTGAGCGGTCATTAAATGAATGGTTGTAAGTCGAGGACGACCTGTATTCCATTTGGGCTTTTAAATGTCCTGCATCTCCTGGTGTGTTCAGCAGACTGAAAGGGCAGGTTGTAAAGCAAGTCTAAAATGAGCCAGGAAGTAATACAGGTAGTCCTCGACTTACAACAGTTCACTTAATGACCCTTCGAAGTTACAACAGCGCTGAAAAAATTTCTGTCCATTTTTTCACACTTACGACCGTTGCAGCATCCCCGTGGTCACCTGATCCAAATTGAGCTGCTTGGGAACCGACTCATACTTACGACCAGAGGTGGGATTCACTTACCTTCCCTACTGGTTTGCAAATGTGAGTGCACGCACCTCCTCTGCACATCCGCACGGCCTTCTGCGCATATGCAGAACTCGTGCATTATGTCCAGGAGAGTGGGCGGAGCCTCCCACAGTCACCACTACCAATTCGCCCGAACCGGACAGAACCAGCTGAATCCCACCTCTGCTTACGACAGTTGCAGCGTCCCAGGGGTTGCGCGATCCCCTTTTGCGACCTTCTGACAAACAAAGTCAATGGGGAAGCCAGATTCACTTAACAACCGTGTTCCTAACTTAACCATGTTAAGGCATTGATTCATTTAACAACTGCGGCAAGAAAGGTCGTAAAATCCACTGAGCCAATGTTTCGCTTAGCAACAAAACATGGAAGGGCTTCATTTTTGTGGTCGAAAGTCGAAGACTACGCTGTACTGAATCCATTTTTTCCTTGGCAGTCGTCGTCCAGCTGGGTCAGTCGGAGAAGGTGGAGTCTGGGGGTCTGAACGGGAGATACAAGGCGGTGCAGTTTCATTTCCACTGGGGAAGTGAGATGGGGAACACGCGGAGTCCTGGATCCGAACACAGCATCGATGGAGAGAGGTACCCCATGGAGGTAAAAGCCCCCAGAAACATTCATCTCCAAAGTCTGGCCTCAGGAAACATTTGAAATATATGTTGTTGTTGTTAGTTGCAAAATCGTGTCCGACCCATCGTAACCCCATGGACAACGTTCCTCCAGGCCTTCCTGTCCTCTACCATCCTCTGGAGTCCATTTAAACTCATGCCGACTGCTTCAGTGACTCTATCCAGCCACCTCGTCCTCTGACGTCTCCTTCTTCTCCTTTTGCCCTCCATCTTTCCCAGCATGAGGCTCTTCTCCAGTGAGTCCTTCCTTCTCATTCGGTGGCCAAAGTATTTGAGTTTCATCTTCAGGATCTGGCCTTCTCAAGAGCAGTCAGGGTTGATCTCCTCTAGGACTGACCGGTTAAATATATATTTATTTACATACATACATACCAGGGGTGGGTTCTAAATTTTTTTACTACCGGTTGTGTGGGCGTGGCTTATTTTGTGGGCGTGGCTTGGTGGGGGGGTAATGGGACTGGGTGGGCGCGGCCAACTTTTTTTTTTTTAACTTTTAAAAGCCTTTTTTCTACAACCTTAAGAGGTTGCAGAAAACAATGCTTTGAAAAGCCTCTGCCGATCAGGCAACTCAGCTGAGATCGTCAGAGGCTTTTCAAAGCATTTTTTTTTACCACCTCTTCAGCCAAAGAGGTCGTTGAAAAAATGCTTTGAAAAGCCTCTGCCGATCCCAGCTGAGCTGCGGGATCATCAGAGGCTTTTCTTTTTACTTTTAAAAGCATTTTTTCGACTGAAGAGGTTGTAGAAAAAAGGCTTTTAAAAGTAAAAAAAAAAGAAGCCTCTGATGAGGTGGGGTAAGCGAGCGGTGACCGGGCTGGGGACCGGTTCGGGGGCGTAGCCAGCCAATGTTAATGACATTACCTAGTTGGGTAATGAAAAGTTTCCAAGAAAACAACCAAGCTTAGATAGCACCAAGGTCCCTCATGTCAACCCTGATCTACAAATATTCTCTTTTATTATTAAGGTATATAACCTCCTCCTGTCCCGATTTGTAGCTGAGGAAATACTTAAAGACTTGATGATAGTCTGGGGGAGGAATTTCGGATATTCATTAGATCTGGAAAAATGGCAACAAATATGGAATAGAAATGCGAAAATGACGATGGCAGTGTCTTTCAAAGAAAATATATTTAAAATGTTATATAGGTGGCATATACCACCAGCAAGAATCGCAAAGATGTTCCCTGGAACCTCAGCAGAATGTTGGAAATGTGGGTCAGCCAGGGGTACATTTTGCCACCAATGGTGGACATGTCTACAAGCCCAAAACTATTGAAGTAAGATAAAAGTTTGGCTCATGGAGATTACAGGAGTCAGTTTTCAACTGAGACCAGAGGTCTACTTGCTAGGGTGCGCTTCAAGGTTTTGGTTACCACCTTTAAAGCGCTCCATGGCTTAGGACCTGGGTACTTGCGGGACCACCTACTACCACCAATAGCCTCCCACCGGCCGGTACGCTCCCATAGAGAGGGGCTCCTCCGGGTGCCGTCGGCCAAACAATGTCGACTGGCGGTCCCCAGGGGGAGAGCCTTCTCTGGGGGGGCACCCGCCATCTGGAACGAGCTCCCCCCGGAGATACGGAGGATCCTGGATCTGCGCACCTTCCGCCGCGCTTTAAAGACCTTATTATTTCACCAGGCGGGCCTGGCCTAATTTTCTCCCTCTTTCATAAAAGATTTTTAATTTTTAAATATCTTTTAGTATTTTATACATTCAATTTTAAAATTGGTTTTAAATAGTTCGGGGTTTTAAATTTGTCGGAGCCAAAATTATTTAATTTGATTTTATTCTACTTTTAAATTTTGTATGGATGTGTTTTATTGTTTGGCTGTGCACCGCCCTGAGTCCTTCGGGAGTAGGGTGGTATAGAAATCGAATAAAATAAATAAATAAATAAATAAATAAATAAATAAATAAATAAATAAATAAATAAATAAATAAATAAATAAATAAATAAATAAAATAAACCCTGGGGGCATAAGGAAAGCAGACTGGTACCTTTTCATACACATTACCACTGCGGCTAGAATTGCATATGCGCAATTTTGGAAAGGGAAGGAAGTACCATCGGATCAGATGATTATCAACAAAATTTTGTTTGTGTGCAGAATGTGATAGATTAACCTGTATATACTTAAAGATAGACAAGAATCAATTTTCAATCAAAGCTGGGATAAATGGTACCAATGGATAGAAATCAAAATGTCATGAGGTAGATGTTAGGGAAGCATGTAGCATAGATATGTAAATAGCAAGCTAAATATAAATAAGGGAATATTAGATATAAGAAGATTAACAAACAGGGTGGATAAAAATCAATGATTTTTTTTTAAAAAAATCAGATTTTTTTGATTTAAATCGGATTTTTTTGATTCTTATTGAATTTATTTTAATAAAGAACTTTTGGGGTAAAAATCTATCGTAAGATAGTTTTCTATTTAAGATACGTAAATAATTTAGTTTATTCAGCATGAAATGGAGCTTAGTTATGTAGCAGGAGGCTGTATGTTCTGCAACACTGGGACTATCGGTGAGTCAACAGTGGGTCAAAGGAGTAGCAGAGATGACAGTTGCTCTTTAAAAATTATGATTTAAATCGAGTTGATTTAAATCAAGCCTTTTTACTAGTGATTTAAATCATGTTTTAAATTGTGATTTAAATCAACTCGATTTAAATCAAATCCACCCTGTTAACAAATGCGAGATGCAGTATGATAAACCAAAGTGAAGCTGTAGTATGACGATATGTAATGTTATTTAGAAACTGTATATATATATGGGGGTTGAATCAACCTCAGTCGTATGTATGTGATCGTGTTTCGTTATAGTCTTTATTCTGTTTTTTGTTTCTAATTTATAATAAAAATTTTTTTTTTTTTAAAAAAGTGTTTTTTAACCCACTGTGACTTGAGTAATAAAGGGTCTTGAGTCAATGCAGCCTGTGATTTTCTTACAGCTTCACATTGTCCACATTAAGGAGGAATTTAGCAGCACAGATTCAGCGATCAAAGGAAAAGGCGTAGCGGTGCTGGGATTTTTTATAAAGGTATGGAATAGATTTGCGTTCCATTGTAATTTTTTAAAAATAAACTTCAAGACTTTGAACAAACTCAAAACTGGGTCAGTCTCATCCAGTGCCTTCCAGTTGTATTGAAGCCACAAGACCCATAATCCTCACCCATCGTGGTTTCACTGAGCCATCCTCCTATACAGGGCAGGTTGCATTTACATATCTTGGCCAGACCTCTTCGGAGACACCTGTGGTGGGTGAGACCCCCCCCCACAACCTCTGAAAGCCCCTGTTGACCTTGACTTTCTCCTCCCAGAGCAGTTTCTCAACCTTTGGCAATCTTGAGCTATGAAAACTTCAACTCCCAGAATTCCTCAGCCAGCTAAGGAATTCTGGGAGTTGAAGTCCACACAGCGCAAAAGTTGCCAAAGTTTGAAGCACTTTTCTAGAGTCCTTTCTCCTGGGGCAACAGAATTCTTCAGCTCCTCTTTCCTGCCAAATTTAACAGCTATTTTTCACTGTGTTCTCCCAAAGGAAGGGAAAAAAGGGAGCGGGACATAGAGAGACGGAGGGAGGGAGGAAAGAAGGAAGAAAGAGGGGAGAGGAGGGAGGGAGGGAGGAAGAATTAAGGAAGGAAGGAAAGAAAAAGAAAGAAAGAGAAAGAAAGAAAGAAAGAAAGAAAGAAAGAAAGAAAGAAAGAAAGAAAGAAAGAAAGAAAGAAAGAAAGGCAAGCTTTTCTTAAATTGGACACCCTCCTTTTTTGGACTTGCTTCAAACAGCAAATAGCAATAGCAGTAGTACTTAGATTTATATACCACTTCACGGTGCTTTCCAGCCCTCTCTAAGCGGTTTACAGAATCAGCCTATTGTCCTCAATAATCTGGATCCTCATTTTACCCACCTCAGAAGGATGGAAGGCTGAGTCAACCTGGAGCCGGTCAGGATCGAACTCCTAACAGTGGGCAGAGTTTGCCTGCGATAGCAATAACACTTAGACATATACGGCTTCACAGTGCTTTTACAGCCCTCTCTAAGCGGTTTACAGAGTCAGCCTCTTGGCCCCAACAATCTGAGTCCTCATTTTACTGACCTCACAAGGATGGAAGGCTGAGTCAATCTTGACTCAGCTCAAAAATGTTCCAGGTTCAATTCTTAATATGTTTTGCTCTGTTACAGGTTGGCAAAAAGAATCGAAACTATGAATCGCTCATTTCAAATTTAGAAAAGATTGGGACTGCAGGTAAGGAGAAGAGACCTAACGCAAATGTGAATTTAATTCAATTTAATCATTCGATTTAATTCATTGGATTTTCGAGGCCACACGGCTCCAAAGGAGATTCTGAACAGCTTACAATTAAAATTTCCGTTGCTAAGCAAGACAGTTAAGTGAGTTATGCCGAAAGCCCTACTAAGCAGGTATATACAAAAAGTATGAAGGCTATTGCTTAACGCATTGTAAGCCGCCCTGAGTCTCCGGAGAAGGGCGGCATATAAATCGAACCAATAAATAAATAAATAAATAAAATTAATGACCTTTCTTGTCACAGTTGCGAAGTGAATCACTGCCAGTTGTTAAATTAGTAACATGGTTGTTAAGTGAATCGGGCTTCCCCATTGATTTTGCTTGTCAGAAGGTTACAGGTGATCACATCACCCTGGGAGACTGCAACTGTCATAAATAACCGTCATAAACTGGCTGGGGAATTGAGAAAGTTGAAATCCTCCAGAAGGGATAAATGTTTGCCCACACTTGTGATGGTTGTTGTGTCCTGTGGTCATGTGATTCCCATTTGTGACCTCCACAACTGGCTTCTAACATACAGGTAGTCCTCAACTTATGCCCACAATTGAGCCCAAAATTCACGTTGTTAAGTGAGAATTTGAGTTTTGCCCCATTTTACAACATTTCTTGCCACAGTTGTGAACCGAATCACTGCAGTTGATAAGTTAGTAACATGGTTGTTAAGTGAATCGGGCTTCCCCATTGATTTTTGCTTGTCAGAAGGTTACAGGTGATCACATCGCCCTGGGAGACTGCAACCATCATAAATATGAGTCAGTTGCCAAGCATCTGAATTTTGATCATATCACCAGGGGGATATAGTAATGGTTGCAAGCAGAGGTGAAATCTACTTACTTTCCCTACCGTTTTAGAAGTGCGCACGCACATCACGTGCCTGCGCTGATCCTCTGCATATGCGCAAACCCTTCTGCACATGCACAGAGGGTAAAAAACAGGTTACTTCCTGGTTAAAACCAGAAAGTAACGACCGGTTGGGTGGGTGGAGCCTCGAGCCACCATCGCTACCGGTTCTCCGAACCACCAGTCATCATCGCTACCGGTTCGTCCGAACCAGTCTGAACCAGGAGCATTTCATCCCTGGTTGCAAGTGTAAAAATAATGGTCATGTCATCTTTTTCAATGCTGTTATAACTTCAAACGATTCACCAAACAAAACGTTGTAAGGGAAGGATTACCTGTAACTCATACAATATCTGAGATACAAATAATTCTCTCCATTAGTCATTCGGTTTGAGCTCCAAGCTTGGCAATTTGGTTGCAAACGTTTCATCGCCATTCGAGGAGGCATCGTCCAGGCATTTTGAGTTGTGCTCGTCTGGCAGAACGCAGGTCTTTAAGTACCTTTGTTTGAGATGTAAATTACTGTATTTTTCAGAGTATAAGACGCACCTGTTTCCCCCCCTAAAAGGAGGTGAAAATTTAGGTGCGTCTTATACACCGAATGTAGCCCCGCCTACCCACTGGCCCCCACCCTTTGGCCTCTGCCTCACAGCAGTTACCTCCTTGCAAGCAAACAGCAAGAAAAAACAGCTCCTTTCAGTTTCAGCACAGTCTAATTAGCACCAGTTGATTGGATCGGCCTCCCGACTCTCAGCTGATTTGCTCTCAGCTGTTTTGCAGGGGCCTCTGCTGCTTGCTGCAAAGAGGTAAATTACTGGAGCAGATTTTTTTTATTTCCTTGTGCTAATCAAGCTATGCTGAAAACGAAAATGAAAGTAAAGCATTTGCTGTTTGCTGTTTACTGCAACGAGGCAAAATTGCTCAGAGGCAGAGGCAGAGGCAGAGGGAGATTTCTTTTTCTTCTTTTCCTCACCAAAAAAGATAGGTGCGTCTCATACTCCGAAAAATACGGTAGTCTGAATGTTGCCAGTCAACAGCCAGCCCATCAAACAGTCTGAAATCAGAGGTTGACTCAGAAATATCTGAACATTGTTATGTATCATCGTTATTATATTATTAATATTATGGTAATGAATACTACAACAAACACATGGATTATGGTTGTTTAAAAATAACTGTATCCAGGTCACACACTGTTTGATGGAAATTGAATGTTATATAAATAAAACAAAGAAAACATGAAAACAGAAATATCCAAACAAACAACATTCAGACTAATTTGCATCTCATAAAAAAGTACCATATTTTTCGGAGTATAAGACGCTCTGGATAAGACACACCTATCTTTTTGGGGGAGGAAAACAAGAAAAAAAAAATCTGCCTCTGCCTCCCAGCAATTTGCCTCATTGCAGCAAACAGCAAACAGCCTGCTTTACTTTTCATTTTCATTTTCAGCACAGCCTGATTAGCACAAGAAAAAGAAAATCTGCTTCCCAGCAATTTGCCTGCTTGCAGGAGGCCCGCGTGGCAATAGGCAATGGCAATCCCTGCAGCCTCAAAACAGCTGAGGGTCGGGAGGCCAATCCAACGGACAATCAACTGTGTGTGTTAATCAGGCTGTGCTGAAGCTGAACTGGGCCTCTTGCTGCTTGCTGCAAGGAGGTAAATTGCTGGGAGGCAGATTTTTTTTCTTGTGCTAATCAGGCTGTGCTGAAGCTGAAACGGGCTGTTTGCTGTTTGCTGCAAGGAGGTAAATTGCTGGGAGGCAGAGGCCAAAGGGTGGGGGCCAGCAGGTGGGTGGGGCTACATTTGGTGTATAAGATGCACCCAAATTTACACCCTCTTTTAGGGAGGGGAAGTGTGTCTTATACTCCAAAAAACACGGTATTTAAAGACCTGTGTTCTGACAGACGAGCACAACTCAAAAACACACGGACGATGTCTCCTCGAATGGTGATGAAATGTTTGCAACCAAATTGCCAAACACAGAGCTCAAAGCAACAGCCTAACTACCAACCCAAGCTACAGTACTAATATATTCAAACACATTTCAATTCTCTCTGTCATTTATTCAGGGCAAAAAGTAGAGATTCCAGCTTTGGCCCTGGAATCCCTGATCCCGGAGAAGAAGGATCTCACCAGCTTCTATCGCTACACTGGCTCTCTGACCACCCCTGCCTGCAGTGAAGAGGTGGTCTGGACCTTGTTTGAGAAACCCATTGAACTTGAGTGGGAGCAGGTAGGAGACACGGGCTAAGAAACAGGTCTCTTCCTATGGATACTGTGGTCTCGGGTTTTCAGTTGTGAGTTAATTTTTGGGTCAGCAGTTTTTTGCTTCTATGTTTTGGATAGCGGTGTGGGTTTTGAAATGTTGTTAACCTCCTTGAATGCTGGCAGAGAACAGGAAGGAAGAAGAAGGACTGGGTGTTTGTGTGAAAGAGAGAGGATGGGGAAGGGAAGGGAAGGGAAGGGAAGGGAAGGGAAGAGAAGGAAAGGAAAGGAAAGGAAAGGAAAGGAAAGGAAAGGAAAGGAAAGGAGGAATGGAGGGAGGAAGGAAGGAAGGAAGAAGGGAAGGAGAGAGGGAGGAATGAAAGAGGAAGGGAGGGAGAAAGGAAATAGAGGAATGAAGGGGGAAGGAGGAGGAAGGAGGGAGGGGGAGAGAGGAAGGAAAGAAGAAGGGAGGGAGAGAGGGAGGGAGGAATGAAAGAGGAAGGGAGGGAGAATGGAAATAGAGGAATGAAGGAGGAAGGAGGAGGAAGGAGAGTGGGGGAGGGAGGAAGGAAGGAAGAAAGGAGGGAGGGAGAGGGAGGAATGAAAGAGGAAGGGAGGGAGAAAGGAAATAGAGGAATGAAAGAGGAAGGAGGAGGAAGGAGGGAGGGGGAGGGAGGGAGGAAGGAAGAAGGGAGGGAGAGAGGGAGGGAGGAATGAAAGAGGAAGGAGGGAGGAAGGGTGGGAGAAAGGAAATAGACAAAGGAGGGAGGAGGGAGGGAGGGAGGGAGGGAGGAAGGCATATTAATAGTTTGGCACCTTATTATTCAGGCAACTGAAGCTCCTCTATCTACGCTGACTTGGAAAGATAGAAAATTAACACTTGTCTGTCTTATTGGTTCATAGATTGAAGAGTTCTGGAAAAAGGTGTATTTCGACAAAGGGAAGACCCTTCCAATGGTGGACAATTTTCGACCGGTTCAGCCTCTGGGTGGCCGAATTATCGAAAAATCGAACTCAAACCTCCTGCTGCCTCCGGGGAATGCGCTCTTGCTGGTCCCAACTGCAGCGTTCCTGGCTTCCGCTTGGATCTCCTGAAGCGGAGGCTCTGGAACCTTTGAACAATGCGCATTGAATGGCCCGCCCTCCTCTTGGAAGCCTTCGACCCCCCCTTGGCATCTCCCAGCCACAATCTAGGATCTCTTTCACAGGATGGCCAGGATTTCATAGCAGAAACAGATTTTCGGATGATGTTCTCCTTCTTCTTTTCTTCCTCCTTCTCCATATTTTCTCCATCTCTCTCTCTTTTACCCCTTCTCAATCTTTTCCTCCTTCTCCTTCCCTCCTAATCCTTCTTCCTCTTCTTGTCCTTCTTTTCCTTCTCCTCCATATTTCTTCCTTCTCTCTCTTTTCTCCCCTTCTCAACCTTTTCCTCCTTCTCCTTCCCTCCTAATCCTTCTTCCTCTTCTTGTCCTTCTTTTCCTTCTCCTCCATATTTCTTCCTTCTCTCTCTTTTCTCCCCTTCTCAACCTTTTCCTCCTTCTCCTTCCCTCCTAATCCTTCTTCCTCTTCTTGTCCTTCTTTTCCTTCTCCTCCATATTTCTTCCTTCTCTCTCTTTTCTCCCCTTCTCAATCTTTTCCTCCTTTTCCTTCCCTCCTTCCTCTCCTTCTCCACATTTTCTTCTTCTCTCTCTCTTTTCCCCCTTCTCAATCTTTTCCTCCATCTCCTTCCCTCCTTCCTTCCTTCTCTCTCTCTCCTTCTTTTCCTCTTTCTTCTCTCCATCTCTTATTCTGTCTCGTCTCCCCTTCTCTAACTTTTCCTCCTCCTTCCCCTCTTTTCTTCCTTCTCCTATCTTCTCCTTCTTTTCTTTCTCCTTCTCCTTTCTTTTGCCATTGGATCTCTGAGAAATTTTGTCCATGCGTAGATTTTTAACTTAATTATTTGGATAGCAGTAGCACCTTCCATTAATGACTTTTCAGATACTTGTTTCAAGTCACAAGCATGCCAGCAGTGGTGAAAAGCCTTAATTCAGCCTCATGATTTTGCACTTTGACATTTGAAAACCAAAGTGTGAGTATTTTTTTACTAATTAGCATTATCAGAGGCAAAAACGGGGATTTGCAAGCCAAAACTGGCACCCTTCTCAACTGGAAAGTCAACTTCAAATTGCCATGAGGACTCCCTCATGAGGACTAGTTCCTTAGCCCGAAGGCTGCAATGTTGGAAGCTTTTCCTACAGTGATACAAAAACCTCTCGTGGGTTCAAAATCAAATACATCACGGTTTGCCGATTGTCATCAATTGATTACATTAAAAATGCTGTAAAACAACTTCATCTCTAAGTAGACAGGAATAAGAATATTGAACCTGAATTATTATAAAGATTGGTCGCACGGTCAGCCAGATGTTTAGACTGGAACAGTGATGGCTAACCTTTTCGCCATCACATGCCAGGAGGGGAGGGGTGGGGGAGGTTTGCGCGTGCGTGCCCACACCGATTATTTTATGCGCCCCGCCCTGCATATATGCATGCAATCTCCCTCCCTCCCGGCACATGATGGCCTGGTAGACTCGTTTTTCTTTCTCACCTGGCTCCAGATCCTCTCTATGCATCTGGGGAGGGCAAAAACAGCCTTCCCCACCCGCTCGGAGGCCCTCCGGAGGCCTGAAACAACCCATTTCCCAACTCCCGGTTGGACAGGAAGTGACGTTTTTTGCTGTCCCCAGCCTCCAGAGACTCCTAGAGAGGCCCTCCGGAGGCAGGAAACAGCCTGTTTCCCTACTTTTGGTGGGCCCAGAATGCCCGAAAATCAGCTGGTCGGCGCATGCATGCGCACCAGAGCTGGGCTGGCATGCCCACTGATATGGCTATGTGTGCCACGTGTTGCACGCGTGCCATAGGTTCGCCATCACGGGACTAGAATGTTTATCCATCTATCAGTCCTAACTAATATTATTTTCATTTTGGTCAATTTGCTGGCTTAACCTGGACACCATTACCTGGTTTTTATTACTGGATTGATAATGGAATAGTTTCTACAAGATCTGTATATACAAAGTAATCTTCCAGGGTGATATATGTGTCTTTGCGTGTCTGTCTATAAGTAAGTGTGTCTGTTTGTGTGTATGTGTGTGTGTGCATGCACATGTGCCGAAAATGACTTGGGGGGCCTGCATATGTTCTATGAGACACGCCCCCCCTGCCCTCTATGCTGATTTCTGCATGCCAAAATTTTTATTTTTTTCAGGATTTGTGCAATGAACTTAAGCTTTTTTTTTTTTTTTTTGCTTACTGGAACACAAAAATGTTTTGGTTGGTTATGTGGGAAGGAAACATTGGAGAAGACTTCCAACCAGAGCATGGCCAAAAAAATTAAAATGGCACCTATGATAGTATGACTGAACAGCTCCTTTTTTTAAAAATGAATCAATCAGAATAGACCTGGAAGGGATCTTGGAGGTCTTCTAATCCAACCTCCTGCTCAAGCAGGAGATCCTATACCATTTCAGATAAGTGACTTTTTTTCAGTGGTATTGTGCTAGACTGGGCTTTTATATCTGTCGTGCCCGCATCTTGGAAGTTCCTGAGAATATCCCTGCTTCTAATCAATTCAGGTAGTCCTCGTCTTACAACCACAATTGAGCCCAAAATTTTTGTTGCAAAATGGTAGACTTTGTTTAGCGAATTGTGCTCCATTTTACGACCTTTCTTGCCATAGTTGTTAACGGAATGGCTGCAGTTCTTAAGTTAGGAACATAGTTGTTAAGTGAATCTGGCCCTGCTTGTCAGACGGTCACAAAAAGGGATCACATGACCCCGACACTTCAACGGTCGTAAATCAGTTCCCAAGCGTCTGAATTTTGATCACTTGACCAGGGGGGATGCTGTGAAACTCCACATGACCCCTAGATGGCAGTCTAGAAAGGCATAGTGTCACCATCTAGTGGAGATCGAAATGTTTGCAGCCCAAATCGGGTGACCCTACTTATGAAAACCTTTCAAGATATTTCTGTTCTAACCAAAAACACTGAGCATGACGCTAAAATGGCATTCCGAAAGCAGGTTAGGCAACTGGCTGAGGAAAACTCTCAGTCCCTTTCCTAGGGAGGGGAGAAAGCTAAAATTCATCAGTAACAGGATGCCTCTAAGCAGGAGAATGAAGCCCCTGCAGATATTTTGATCATCAACATGATTGCCAACATGATCGCCAACATCCAATGATGGATACTGCAGAAGAAGAAGAAGAAGAAGAAGAAGAAGAAGAAGAAGAAGAAGAAGAAGAAGAAGAAGAAGAAGAAGAAGAAGAAGAAGAAGAAGAAGAAGAAGAAGAAGAAGAAGGAAGAAGAAGAAATTTTGAAGCCAAGTTCTCATCTGACTTCCAAGGAGGCTGAAAATCCAAACATTTTCCACTCCTGCATTCCCTCTTGAAGAAATGGTGCTCCTTGGATTCTTGTCTAAAGTGAAGGAATCAAGAAATCTTTATTTTCTAGTGTCCTAGAGAGGAAACACAAGGATCCTCCATCTTTCGCACACATAGAGGAGAGACTTTTGCCAAAACCCAACTCTACTTGCCCAAGAACAAAGCAATCCACTGTGGAGATAAAAGCATTCTTGAATTTTTGAGGGTCGTCCCACAAGCCATCACCATTTCCAAGGAGGCATTTTTTTCTAAAATGAGAGATAGGAAGACAGTTCTTCTGAAGATGGTTTAGAAGCACCTCCATGAAGAAAATAGTTCTTACCTTTTCTTCTTCTTTTGTTATTGCTTAGTCACTAAATCGGGTCCAACTCTTTGTAATCCCATGGACCATACGACGCCAGGCCCATCTGTCCTCCACTGTCTCCTGGAGTTTGTCCAAATTCATGTTCATTGAATGGATGACACCATCTAACCATCTCATCAGGGGTGGGATTCAAACATTTTAGCAACCCGTTCTCTGCCTGCTTGCTGGATGGGCGTGGCCTACTCGGCCTCCTGCACCATGGGGAGGGGGGCCCTTTTTGCCCTTCCCAAGCTCTGGAGGCTTCTCTTGAGCCTCCGGGAGGGTGAAAACAGCTTCCCCCTCGGCTCCGGAGGCCCTCCGGAGGCCAGAAACGGGTCCGTTTTCAGACTTCCAGAACTTCCAGGAAGCCTGTTTTTCACCCACCCAGACCCTCCGCATGGGCACTGCACTTACCTGGCATCCAAAATGGGCCCCATGGAGACTCCTGGGAGGGGCGGGGTGGGGTGGGCAGGACCAGCCAATCCTTGAAACTACCAGTTCGGTGAACCAGATGTAAAATTAGCATCCGATTCGCCCGAACTGGTCCGAACCGGCTGAATCCCATTGCTGCATCTCATCCTCTGCTGCCCCCTTCTCTTTCTCCTTTCCATCTTTCCCAACCTCAGGCTCTTCTCCAATGAGTCCCCTCGTCTCATTAGGTGACCAAAATATTTGAGCTTCAGCTTCAGGATCTGTCCTTCCAAAGGACAGGCAGAGTTACTTTCCTTTAGGTTTGACTGCAGTCCAAGGGACTCTCAAGAGTCTTCTCCAGCACCACAATTTGAAAGCATCAATTCTTCGGCTCTCAGAGCGGTGCGGTGGCCTAGAGGTGGAGCTCTCGCCTCAAGATCAGGAGGCTGCGAGTTCGATCCTAGGTAGAGGCAGATATTTGTCTCTCTGGGCAAAATGAGAATGTATCTGCTGAATATAACTCTGCATTGGTGACAGGAAGGGCATCTGGCCATTAAACACTCTGCTAGCTCCATTCAGTTGCCCAGACTCCACCCCGCAAGGGATTATGGGGATCATTAAAAGAAGAGGATGATGAATTCTTTGGCTCTCAGCCTTCCTTTTTTTAAAAAAATTTGATTTATATGCTGCCCTTCTCTGGAGACTCAGGGCGGCTTACAATGCGTTAAGCAATAGCCTTCATACTTTTGTATATTTTTATACAAAGTCAGCTTATTGCCCCCACAAACTGGGTCCTCAATTTACCTACCTTAGAAAGGATGGAAGGCTGAGTCAACCTTGAGCCTTGGCGAGATTCGAACCTGCAGTAATTGCAGGCAGTTGGTCTTAATAACCAGCTTAATAACAGGGTGCCTTAGACCACTGTACTACCAAGGCTCTTCCTTAGGATCTGACTCTCACAGCCATACATGACTACTGGGAAAGCCGTAGCTTTGACATTTCTTCTTTAGACATTTTTTTAACCAACTGAAACATTCTTGAGCATAACTGATTAAAGGTTTGCTGGTTACTAGTGATGATTTCTTGGCCCTTCTGACTGCTGCTGTAATTTTTTGATTATTATTATTATTATTATTTTACTGATATTGAGCTGGCATTCATTAACACGCACTTTTAATGGAAATAATTTGGGGTCACCTGTGTTGAATGCAAAAATTGCCAGCCTGGCTTTGCACTAACCAAGGGCAGCTTCAGGCCCCCCTGCTGATCTTCTGTAGCCAGAAATTAAAATTTCTCTCCTGTCTCCCAGAAATGCCAATGGGAATTGACACGGAAGGGTTTGATGACCTTTATGACCTGAGTATTTTTGTCTATGCCGTCTCTCTCTCTCTCTAGAGGTTTAAAAAACACTGCAGCTGAATTCTTTTCTTACTTGCAATAAATGGAATCGCAAAGAGCTTATGGGAAAATACAAAAGCAAAATCAGGGAAAGAAGCAACACGTATGTTTAGAGTCTATATATTGTGGATGAATATACAAAACCTCACATGTATTTTTATATTATTTAAGAGCTTTTCTTCGGGGTTGGAAAACCAAATGAATAAAAAAAAAATGCAAGAGAGTTTTGCTGTCTGTACTTGTATTTTTGGGGAGTATTCGAGTTTAAATTTACACAATACATGTATTCTTAAATGCCCGAGATAGATGGAGGGATGATAGATAGATAGATAGATAGATAGATAGATAGATAGATAGATAGATAGATAGATAGATATAATTGATAGATGGTAGGTAGGTAGATAGATAGATAGATAGATAGATAGATAGATAGATAGATAGATAGATATAGATAAATAGACAGATGATTGATGATAGATAGATGATAGATCAATAGATAATAGAGCTAGCTAGATACCTAGATAGACAGACAGATATAGAGGAGAGAGATATGATAGATTGAGAGATTGAGAGAGAGAGAGATTGAGATAGATAGATGAAGGTAGATTAGATAGATAGATAGATAGATAGATGATAGATAGATAGATAGATAGATAGATAGATGAAATAGATGATTGATTGATTAATTGATTGATAGATAGATAGATGATAGATAAGATAAGATAAAAGACAGACAGACAGACAGACAGCATGGCTG